CCATCTTGTACCAATTCCTCCAGGTGGTCCTTCAATGCATAACAACTCTCAGTATCATGGCCATGATCCTTGTGATACTCGCACCGCCTATCCCGCCTTCGCGTGTCGGGAGGTCCCATCATTTTTGACGGCCATTTGAAGAACGAAAGTTGTTGGATTTTGGACATAACCGCGCTGATCGGCTCTGATAACTCCGTATATTTCTTGTCGCTGCGCCTTGTGCGCCTGCTATCGACTTGTAGTTGTTCATTTGCTCGGTGGGAGCATTGATCGCTTGATCGGCGAGAATCCTGTCTCTTGTCTCGTTTAGCTCGATGCCGTGGTTCTAGGCTCTGAGGTGGTACAGAATTTAACGACTGAGCAATTTTAGAAGGAGCCGTCTTGTTAGCCACGCTTCCGGCTTTAACCTGCAAGACGTCATCTTCTACTTTATAGTATTCCTCAACTTTCTTCATCAACGACCATACTGTTTTGGGGGGGCCGTCTGGTCAAAGAAATGTGGAGGGCACTGTCAGGATGTAACCCTATCTTGAAGACAGTAATGGCCATGGAGTCATTGCAAGCATCATCTACCAGATTAAAACACTCTCAATACCGCGCTAAATACGCACGAAAGGTTTCTCCCAGTTGAATCTGCATTGCCCAGAGGGAATCGGCTTGCTTTGGCTGGACCTCATTAGTGATAAACCTTGCCCTAAATGATTTTTGGAGTTAGTGGAAGCTCTTGATCGAAGCCGGCTCCAGTTTATAATGCCACCTGATAGCCAATGGTCCCAAATTGCTCAGAAATATTCTGCACATAAGAGCTTCGTCATCTGCATGCAGCGTCATGGCTTGCCTGTAATGGTGGATGTGATCGGTGGGGTTTGATTACCGTCGTACAAGGTGAATGACGGTGCTTTGAATTTCTTGGGTAGCACTGCTCTTGCAATCCGTCATACAAAGGGATCGTGCTAGTCTTCTTTGTCTGAACTGTTTCTTCTTCGCTTATGCCTTATACGTAGACTCTCTTCAGAGGAACTAGTAGTTTCGGGTCGTCCCTTCTTCTTGGGCTCCAGGGATAATGAGTCGGAGTCGCTATCAGTGTCTTGTTGTCGGGCTCGAGGTCGTCGACCACCTGCCCTCAGAGGTCGTTCCGGATCTTGGCGTACAGCTTGTTTGGACTTCGTCGCTTCCAAGGTCAAATCCTGACGGAGACGTTCGTTCTCAGCGATCATGTTCTCCAACCTCTGTTCGTTTTGCTTTGCTTATTCCATGATCGCTTGCATTATCTCATGCGCTGAAGTTGAAGGTGAGGCGAAGTTCAAGGCGTGTCTTGCTGTGATAGTCTCCAGTCCAAGCATATTTGTTGGAGTAAGGTCATCTCTCTATGTGGTCTCATTAGTGACTATCGGAGGGTCTTTCGTTACGCCCGCCATGGATGTATTTGAGTATTCCTATAGACGACGCTAGTTATGGGGAAGTGTTTGGAAATACTCTTATGATCTTGGGGGACGCTCGTGATCCTCAGCTAGCCACCTGAAAATGAATGAACAATCTGGTCGGGGGTGCCGGAATTAGCACTCCGACGGATAAGTCAGTGTATACTCTCTTGATTGCTTGTATCTGAAGTTAAGCACACTAGTTCTCACATACCTTCTCTGATTGATGATCATGTATTTATATTATTCTCTTTGGGCCTTAGGGCCAGACCCATCCTCGATCCTTTACATGTACTTCTACTCGGCTTTTTGTTCAGCTGGTTGGAATGGTATGCCGATTATTTTATTCGGCTCTTCAATTGACTGGGATCAATGCCGAATAAAGGTTATGTCCCGGACTGGACTCGTCCATTCGTCCCTATTGATCCAATGAAATTTGGCTCCTACAATGACGATGATATGTTTTTGTTGTTGTCGTTGATGATGAAACATATTGCAAATCCATATGCTTGGTTTGAACAAATAATGGGTGGTTTTCCGAAGAGGAAAGATTGACTAGACTTGTTAAATTTGAACAGATAGATAGTATGAAGAGATATAGATTTTTAACAGATAGATTTGTTGTTGTTATTGTTGTTGTTAGATTTTGAACATATTTACTAATCCAAAAAAAAAAAAAAAAGATTTTGAACAAATAGATTCATTTTTGTTGTTGAATAGATAATAAAATTGGAATAGATAGATTTAAATAGATAAATGAAAAAAAAATAGATAAATGAAAAAATTGAATAGATAATAAAATTTGGACAGATATTTGATCAAATAAAAAGAAAAATTGAACCGATAGTCAAAAAAATTTAAACAAATATATATTGAACAGATAGGGAAAAAATTCAACAGGTAGATATAAATTTGAACAGATAGTTAAAATTTTTGAAAAGAGATATAAATTTGAACAAATAGTAAACAAAAAGTCAAATAGATAAGAAAAAATCAACAGATAAATTCAGGGGTAAAATTAGAAACAAAATATCCTCCAAAACTAACAAAATAACTTCTTACCAAACTATTTCACCAAAGGTGACGTATCACCAATAAAAAATATCCACTGGACCGAATGCTTGACATTTTCTTTAGATTAGATTTATAACCAATTTTCTCTTAAAAAATATTAATGTTTATACTTTAGATAAGGTCAATATATTTTAAAGTATTAATTACCTAAAAGTCATATTTAGAAATGTTATGGTAGCTTAGGTCATATCTAAAATTTTTTGAACTAATAAGTTCTATATAGTAAAATTGAAAATATTATCAGTTTTTTATTTTTTATTTTTAATTTTTAAAATTTAAAACATTATCAATTTTGTATAGTAATGTTCTAGGTAATTGTTTTACTAACTGATAAAAAAACAGAGCATGAGATTAAATGTTTTTACTCTTCTACTTATTGATTTGATTCAACTATCCATTAAAATTGAGAACATTATAGTTTTTTCATTTTCAAAGTGTTTATGTGTGTGTGTGTGTGTTTTGCATATTAATATTCTATCATCTTGCTCCTTTATAAACACAAAATTTTCAGTTTTGCACCAAAAAATAATTCAATTTTTTGCACATAATTTTTTTTTTTAATTTGAAAGTTGATGTTGAAAATCAAAATAAATATCAAATCATCATGTTCTTTTATAGATAATTATAAATGATGAACAATCATTGTTTGAAAAGCAATTCCGATTATTAAGAATTTAATGGGACTTAAAGGTCTAAAAAATTTTAATTAAGATTTAATAGAGTATAAATTTATAAATTAAGACTTATGTGTAAATATCCCTATTTTTAAATATGAGATTCATTACTTTAAATCAATCAGAATTTATATATTATTTGCACTTTAAAAATATGTGAACAAATTTATTTCCAAAAGAGGTAAAGAATTTGTATAAGCAACATAATGGTATCTCAAAATGGATGTTTTTGTCATTCTCTCGTATTGTATAATTCTCTCTACTGCCATTGCCATATTATGCCAAACATGTAATAAATAATCAAGTTATGTGATTGTGACCTTAGGCCACCATTGTTTGTTGAATGATTTTTAGTGAAGTTAAATGTGAAAAATTATTGTTAGGATTGAATAAAACTTAAAATTTATTAGTTTAAAAAAATAAATTCTACAACTTTAAGGGATGTCGTTTCACATTTATTTATTTATTTATGTGGTACTCACAATTTTAAACTAACTATCAAAGTAAATTTCTTTCATCCAGCTCCATGAGTAAATTTTGTAGTATCTAATAAAATATTTGCCATGGAAATGGCTTTCTTTCGGTCCGTGATCGAACTAGAGAATATTGTTGGGCCGTGGAGGCCTACCACAGGTCCCATTTCTATAATCCGAATCGTTAATATGTAAAACTCGTCGAGTATTATATACCTATAAAAAATCACGTTGATCGGATATCGATAGCTATATGATCAAATCAGATTTTTGTAAGTAGTTGATTTTTCATCGTCTATTTTTTTCATACAAAACTGATTTGATAACATAGCTATCGATATCCGATTAACGTGATTTTTTACAAACATGTAATACTCGACGAGTTCTATATACTAAATGGTTCGAATTATTGAAACGAGACCCGTAACAAGCTCCCATGAGTCCAACAGTACCCTCCAGTCCGTGATTGGACTAGAGGGAAGCCATTTTCCAATTGCCATATAGGGTCAATTCATATGTGACTGATTTATATTGTGAAATTCATCACATTATTTTGCCTAATAACATAAGAGTGACATTTTAAGGCAAAAATGATAATCAAAGTCTTAAATATTTAGAATTATTTTTATCACATCAAGCATTGGGTAAAAAAAGATAAAATAGATTAAAATAATTAATAAGATAAAATGTCATATCAAATTTATAATCATTTTTATTTTTTTCTACAAACATTACATCTAACTATATAAAATTTCAATCATCTTCTCAAACACAAATACTTTAACTAATTAAAATAATCAAAAATTAAAATAGTCAATTTCTCAAACGTGGCCATAAGATTATCCACTATGGAGTGCAACCACTTCACTCCGCATTTCAACCATATATTATTCAATTCTAGGTTAAAATGTGAGTAATTTTTCTGGATAAATAACAAAACTCATGTTTCGGGTCCAAGTACTCTTTATATTTTTCTTATATTGTTTAGATAGTAATTAGAGTAAGGACAACATTTTTCATGAGTTGTTTAGAGATGAGCTTTTTATTCCCAGCCTTATTCCATAATGATTTCTTATACATAGACTTCAATATTTTAGTATTACCTTGAGACAAATTTAACACAGAGTTTTATTATTAACAAATAATAAAGTTAAAAAATATATATATCAAATACAGAATAAAACACAGATATCTCACAAATTGCGAGTTTTACATGTGAATCTCACATCATGTGAGCCCTTCCTATCATTATAATCTTAAAACATTTTTTTTTATATATATTTTATTACACTTTTATATACTTTTTCAATACTAATTTTCTAGCATTTTTAATATTTGTATATGTACATATATAAAAATAACAAAAGTTAAATTACACAGCTACCCTTCTATTTCAAAAATTATCCAACACAGCAATTAGCTTCTACATGACTTACACCCAAGATATACTCTTATCTTAAAAAAACACAACCACATGAACACCAAAAAACCTTTTAACCCAACATAACTCTAAAAAGATTTAAAGACACAACATTTAGCATAAATCACACAAAATTCATATTGCTCCCTCTTAACCCAACAACTAACAATTATTCAGTGACATTTGTGATAATACTTCTGTAAACCCATTTGTGGCACTGAATAATTTTTGCTCAAGATTCACATCAAAGACTTGAGCGACCTAGCCTTGATCGGTTTTCGGCCTCTCTTCTTCCCAAATTCACCACACTCTTCTACATTTTCGTCGTCGTCATCATCGTCATCTTCAATATAATCAAATTCTTCATTGTCGATTTGAGACGACGATGACGAATAGGGCGTCGTGGTGGCTTTAGTAACAATCACCTTAACTTCATCAACATCCTTGGTATCACTCTCCACCCTAATAAATTCCACATTTGTATTTGTACCTCTCTTCTTGCCCCACCGCGGCCCGAACCCAGAATAATAATAGAATTCATACGGATTCGACGACGAACGCGCGGGTTTTTTGGGACGCGGGCGCCGGCGAATCGCAACGTTTTCAGATTTCTTACACTTCCAATCCTTCTCATGGCTCTTGCAGCACAAAATTACTCCATTTTTTCCAAACCCTAGTTTATCTTTCCTCTCATTTGCATCCTCAATCTTGTCTACGTTGTTGATTGCATTTTGTCCATCAACAACAGATGTTTTCATGGAAGTCACACTACAAGAAGATTTAAGTCTAATTTGTGAATTTTTTTTGACAAAATTGGTGTTAAATAATAGAAACCCTAACTATCTCTTCTCCAAAATTTACGAATTGAATCGAAGAATGGATTTCTGAGTTACATACCTCTCAACAGCTCCGGGTGAATCTCCTAAACTCGCATTTACTGTGAAACTATCTTCTCCATCGACCTGCAAATACAGATGAAATACAAAGAGAAAGCAATTGAATAATCGAGTGTTTGAGCATGAAATCACGATCGAAATGGAGATTAGGGTTTTTTAAAGAAAAAACCCTAAGATAAGGAAGGAAATGCAGGCCAAGTGTGGTTGGTTGAGAGAGAGAGAGACCTGGAATGGAGAGGAAGCTGAATCGGGAGGGAAGGAGATGGCGTCCCAGGGAGACTGATTGAGGTGGCAGATGTGAGACTGCAAGGCCGGAGGAGAGAGATCGGCGGCGGAGGCGGCGGAGATGAGGCCGGCGAGCTTGGCGTGTTTTCGGATTCTCATGGAGGGGGTGGGTTAGGGGAGATCGGGTTTGCTTTCTCTCTCTACAACACACTACTATTCTTTCTCTCTATATATATGCGTATATGTACTATTTATGTTTCGACTGTTTGCAGATCTCACAGAACTCGATGATAAGGGATTCAACTTGGCAAATAAAAAGTGAAGTGGGTGTCAAAAAAATTGGAACCAACTTCTTTTCAACAATGATTCATCCCATTAAAAAATTATCATTAATAGTATTAATGTATTAAAAAAAAAAAATATAATTTCAAAACTAAAACATCACATCATTAATGGCGAAACCCACTGACACCTAATTTGTGGGAGCACTAATTAGTGCTCCCAAGCATTTTTCATATAAATATAAGCCTAATTTTCTATCAAATGGCATTTTTAAAGAATTTACATTGATAATTTAAAATGTTTAATATTTAAAATTTGTTAAGTATTTTATTTTTATAAAAAATTAAATTAGTTAAATATTATTAGTTATTTGATTAAATTAAATTTGTGTTAAAAGGATTCCAAACGTTTATTTTCTTTGATTCTTTATGTATATTATTTATAAAAAAATTAGATTGATTTGATATTTATAATATTTTATTTTATAAAATTTTTATCTAAAAAAATTAATGATCAATGTGTTTTAAAAATAAATCATTTATTTTTTTGAATACAAAAGCAATAAAATGAAGGGTTATAAATATCAAATCAACTTAATTTTTTTTTACAAATAATATACACATAAGGTCTGATAAAATAAACTGTTTAGATCATCAAAACAGAACCTGTAATAAGTTTTGTAGGCCTAAACAATTCTCTCTAGACCAAATAAGAATTGGATTGGAGAGAAATCTCCCAAAAAATTTAATTACAAAACAAAAATAAATATTAAAATTAAAGTTATAAGTTTTTATTTATTTATTTATTAATGTTTAATATTTTTTAAAAATTAAGAGTGAATGGTAATTTTCGTATTTAACTTCGGATTTGATTCTTTCACCTTGTGAGATCAATTTTGGCATGATGGGCTTATTCTGAGTTTGATCTCGAGGCGCTTTACTTTTTAAGGTTGGTTAATTAAAATATTGATATAAAAAATTAAATTGATTAAATATCAATAATTATGTATTTAAATTATATTTATGTTATAAAAAATAGATGATTATTATTTAAATTATATTTATTGTCAATTTTTTTTAGAACAAATGTTATTTAAATATATATTTATCGATATTTAATTATTTTAGTTTTTTCATAAATATTTAACTCGACTAATTTTAAACCTCAAATTGAATGGCCAAATTAAGGAATCAAAAACCGTTTAACTTTCTATTTGCTTTTACCCGGTTTTCGACTTGAATTTGTGATTATTACAATCTCACCCTTGGATTCTAATGATATTACATCTAAGTCAGTGTTCCACGTCATGCAACTTTGCCTTGATGCCTTAACGGGATATGGTTTGGGCGAAGGTAATTGTGACCCTTTATAATAAAATAAAAGGATAAATTACAAATATACTTATTGAGATTTGATTAAAATATAAATTATTTTTTGTAATTTTAAAAATTACATTCCATCCCTTGAGCTTTCTAATTTTATAACAAATCGTCCATTTTATTAATAAATCATCAAGTCAATTAACAGATTTTAATGATGTTAAAAACATGTTTCAATTAATAATTTAGATAATTTTATTATTGTATAGGAGAATAATTATGAATTTTATTTTTTAGTTAATTCTGTTAAATAAAAAATTCTAATAAGGGTATATTTGTAATTTTTCAAACTATAGGGGGCAATTTGTATTTTAAACAGAAAATGTATTTGTAATTTATCCAAAATAAAAAGATTAAAGATTAATTGATTTTTATGGTATGCACTCTCTTTTGGGGTGAATATCATATATACTTTATTATAAATTAATGTGATTTTATCATAAAATTTCGTAATATCAATCACAAAATATGTAACATTATTATAAATTAGTGTAACAAAAAATGTCGTAATAAAATCACAAACTTTGGTTACATGAACCACAAAATTTTGGACATTTTGTTACGTTAATTTATGGTAAGGTTACGCATTGTGTGATTAATGTTACGAAATTTTGTGATAAAGTTTGTTGGCACCATAAATTTGTAATTTTTTTTATTTATTATTTATATAATTACAGGACACGTGACACCCTCATTCTCATTTGGAAGTTATGAGAAGTTATGAGATGTGGAAAGATGATGGAGAACAAAGTGGAGAATATAGAGTATGAAGTGGAGGTTGATGGAAGTTATGGAAGATCATGAAGTATGAAATGGAGGACGCGGAAGAGTGAATAGTTTTAGATAGTTTTTTTCCTACAAATGTTTTCCTATAAATAGCCATTCATGGCTACATTGTGAAAAAATGTCTAAAATTCAAATCAAAGACAATTGATTTTTATTTTTCTTGTCATTTATATTTTCTACACTTTATTTTATGCACTTCATTTTCAAGGCATAGGAGTAGATGTAAGTTCTTTGCACTTTATTTTATGCACTTCCTTTTTGAAGCATATGAGTAGAGATACATTAATGGTTAGTTTGATTGTTCACTCAATTATCTTTCTCTATCTCCCTCTTTCTTCTTTTAATTTTTTTTTTCTTTACACTTGCAATTTTGAAGTCCTCTTCATTGAGGCAAAAGAACTATTAACACATTTGCTTGATAATTGACTTGAATTTAATCTGTAATGATTTTTCAATTCTTTCTGGCATGCTTGCATTTATGATATTTTCTTTTGTAGGAAAAATAAGCCAACAATTTTTGGCACGCCCAGTGTGACGTCAAGTGTAAGAAATGAAAAATAAATTGGATTCATCCATTCTAAATAGCCTAGATGAAATCTTTTGGTGTAAACAAAAAATTTTGGATCTTCAAGAAGAGATCTATTTTCTTGATGAAACAAACTTCCACTCATTACAATATTGTTTGGTAGAAGAAAAAAAATACACCATTTAATTGAAATAATTCATCAACTTGATATGAAAATTTGTCAATGGAGACATGAGTTATCAACCATTCTTGTCAAGTCTTCAATGATTGAATTTTGTGGGGTTTCACAGAATGTTTTCAAGTCATTTGTGACTAAATTTAGTGAAAATATAATGTCATCAATGGCTTAGGGGGTTCAAGAGCTATTTTTTAAAGAGCCAAATTATGAAATTAACATAATGAAAGAACATGTTCTTGAGCCAAATTTAGCTAAGAATGATATTCCATGCATGGCTTGGGAGGTCCAAAAATCAATTTTTAGAGAGTGAAGTCATGAAAATAACATACTTATGGGGGATTTTCATAAGCCATTAATGGCTAACATGGAAAGACAGCCCACTTTGCCAGATAATTATGAAAATCAATTCGACGAAAGTCATGTTTTTAAACCAAACATGGTCAAGAATCATGAACAAGCCACTGTTTATGAATTCAAAATTTTTGACATTTTTCAAAATGTCAAAAAGTATGAATTTTCATAGTCACACTAGATCATGACTTTTGTTTTTCAAAATCTATTTTGGATTTGTGGATCATATCAAACGTTGACTTTGATGGAATGGCTGTAGATATTCCGTTTTTGACCGTCCTTAAGACTTGGGCGCTTCATGGTGAACACTCAATGATGAATTAGTATGTTGTATAAACCATTTGATTTCTTCAGCAAGAAGTTTTGGTTTTGAGTTTTGGAGCCTAAAACCTTGCACCACATTAAAACCAAAACCTAAATTTTTTCAACTTGACCATTCAGAGGCCTGCTGGCCAACAGGTGGCCGGCAAGCCAATTTTTATTGGCCGGCCGTCCCCCTACATGGCCGGCTAGCTATGTTTATCGGCTGGCAGATCTTTTGCTGCCAGTAGTCCCCCCCATGTGCATGCATTGCACCAGCTGGCTCAATACAAATATTTCCGACAGAGAAACCTGTTTTTCTATAAATACTTGACCATTCCTCATGGTTTTAGGTTAGAAAAGTTCTCTAAGTGCCCAAATCTTGCTAAACACTCTCCCTCTCTACCTTGCAATATACATACATTATACATACACTTTCTAAACCAATAATTTGAGGCTCCTACTGAGATTATTGAGCTGAAATTTTAGCCCTTGAGAGTGAGTACCTTATGGTTTGTGAACAAAAGAGTGTCTTCTTTGCAATGGTATAACTCTTGCCTTTTTTTTCCTGCTCTTCATTCCTCTTTTTCTTGGTATTTATACTCTATTTTGGACTATTTTATGGGCTGAAACTTGTGATTTAAAAGCTACTCAAGGCGGAGGGGTTAACCACCATTTCTTGAACCTCATTACATAGCTCTTATCCTTGTGTTTCCCACTTGTTTCTCAACTTTTAGCTACTGATTTTCAGAGTTTTCATAGGCTAAAACATGTGATTTTAAGGTCCAAAAAGTGAAGGGGTTAGCCACCATTTCTTAGGCTTGCTTACTTGCTTTGTTTCCTTCTTATTTTTGCTAACTTTTTCTAGCTTGCCAAGATAATTTTCAACGCTGTTTTTACTAATTTTGGGACTATTTTAGTGTGTTTACTTAGTGTATGATTTGAGTATCGTGCTTGTGTTGTTGCAAGTCCTCATAGATTTGGTAGTTTAGGCCTTAGACACCAATCCATTTGAATTGATAGCTTTTCATTACTTTTTGATGTAAATAGTCTTACTTTAATAATCAGTTTTGCATAATCACCTCTGCTACTTCTCTCATTTCTTGCTTTTCTTTGTTTAAGAGTTGTTTCAAACAATTGATTGTTGTTTAGGGCATGAGAAAGAGACCTTCCAGGCTTAATGGTTTAATCTCTTCGGAGGTTCATTACCAAGGTAGTACATCTCTCTCATGCTAATGACAACTTCTTGTTTGACACTTTTCTTCATTTAGTAGACGTAACTCTCACTTTTGGACAAAATGACTAAGGAATGACAGGGTAATGTAAAAGAGGTTAAAATTGGGCTAAAGAATTAAAAAGAGCAATAAAATCAAGTTGGGTTCAATCAGATGTTAATTGAACCTATTGCGTCTTGACTTGTTACGTACCCTTTAGTGACGTTTAATGGTTCAAGAAACAATGTCCAACCATTTCTTTGAGATAATTCCATGAT